TTTTTTGGTTGCAGCTGTCGTTGTTTGGCGGGTCCGGGCTGGGGATTCGAACCCGCCACCTTAGGTGTACGTGGCTGGCGCCTTAGCCGCTTGGCTAAAATAAAAATGTTTATTTTTAATTATTATTTTTTGAGACAGAGTCTCTCTCTGTCACCTCAGTAAAATGCAGTGGCATCATCATAGCTCACTCCAACTTTGAACTCCTGAGCTCAAGTGATCCTCCTCCCTCAGCCTCCTAAGTAGCTGAGACTACAGGTGTGTGCCACCATACCCAGCTAATTTTTTGGTTTTTGGTAGAGATAGGGTCTTGCTGTTACCCAGGCTGGTCTCGAACTCCTGGGCTCAAGCAATTCTCCCACCTCAGCCTCCCAAAGTTCCAGGATTATAGGAACCACTGTGTCTGGCCATAGTCAAATTTTTTTTTTTTTTTTAGAGACAGAGTCTCACTTTATTGCCCTGGGTAGAGTGCTGTGGCATCACAGCTCATAGCAACTTCTAATTCCTGGGCTTAAGCAATTCTCTTGCCTCAGCCTCCTGAGTAGCTGGGACCACAGGCACTCGCCACAACGCCCATCTATTTTTTGGTTGTAGTTGTAAGTTGTTTTGTGGGCCTGGGCTAGACTCAAAACCACCAGCTTTGGTGTATGTGGCTGGTGCCTTAGCTGTTTGAAGCTACAGGCACTGAACCCCAATGCTTGGTTTTTAAGAGTCTTCATTCTGGCTGGACGTGGTGGCTTATGCCTGTAATCCTAGCACTCTGGGAGGCCAAGGCGAGTAGATCACTTTGGCTCAGGAGTTCAAGACCAACCTGAGCAAGAGCAAGACCCCATCTCTAAAAATAGCCAGGTGTTGTGGCAGGCACCTGTAGTCAGGAGGCTGAGGTAAGAGAATTGCTTGAGCCCAAGAGTTTGAGGTTGCTGTGAGCTATGACACCATGACACTCTATTGAGGGTGACAACTGAGACTCTGTCTCAAAGAAAAAGCCTTTATTCTGACTCTGTCATTTCCAAGGGGACATAGTGGAGGGTTTGTTTGCTTGTTTGTTTTGTTGTTTTAAATTTTACTAGCAGGCTCGGCGCCTATAGCTCAACCAGCTAAGGCGCCAGCCACGTACACCTAAGGTGGCGGGTTCGAATCCCCAGCCCGGACCCGCCAAACAA